AAAAGAAAATACTCATAAAATTAAATTCTAACATGACAAAAGTCACTAAGAAGATAAATTAAAGACAGGAAACAGACTGAAACATTGTTGACATCTATAATAATAAAAGCATAATATGAAATCAACTGATCAGCCAGTGGAATGACCAACCAGCTGTTTTTCTGAATGAAGCCAGGGCTGCAAGGGCTGAGGCAGCCAGGGCTGCCAAGGCCTACTCTTGCACAAATTTTGTGCATAAGGCCTCTAGTATTTAATATATTGAAGATAAAAATGTTAAAATCCTATAAAAATTTTAAATATTCTATATATGTGTATACATGTATATTATATACATACATATATCACAAATAAGAAGAAATACAAATAGGCAAACCATGTGTATATGTTATCTCAGAAGAAATGTATACAGCTAGTAAAATATTAAAAACAGACCCATCCTTAGTAGTAACTTGTAAAATAAATTTAAAAAATGTATAAGATTAATAATATCAAATTATGGCAACAATGTGGGGAAATTGGCACTTGACAAAACTGTTTAAGGTTGTTCTTTATGACATAATGTTAGCTAATAATTTGAGAAAACAAAGTGTTAGTCATTGAGCAAAGGCTAAATAAATGATAGTATATCATGTATAAATACAAAGTAGCTACAAACTGGATAAGCTAAAACACATTAATAGATTTTTATGTGAAAAAAATCTCTAAATCTAATTGCTAAAATAAACACAACATGTTTAATCCCATTTATGAAATGAAGACACAGAAAAGATAAAATGTGTGTTTGTGTGTGTGTATGTGTGTACATGTGTATGAACACTAAAGGATTTTGGAATTCTGCCAACTTCCCTCTTAGACTTAAGAAGGGTAGATAGGAGTGATTTCTATTCTTTGTCTTGCCTCCTTTTATAGTAGGAATGCATTAGAATGTAATTTGTTTAATAAAATAAAATAAAACCCTTTCCACAATTATTTGAATAAATTTTGTCAGAGTATATATATTTGTGGTATTTCAAAATGTTAATGGAAGCACTGTTCTTTTCTTCCATCTGTTAGAGAATTACATTAATCAGTGAAAGACTTTGCTCCATAGAGCATTTTAAATTCATATGCTCTTTGGAAATGAGATGAAAAAATAACAAGGTACCAGATTCTGAATTACACATCTTATTTGTATGTCTACATTGTCTCTGTATTAATATTTATTCAAAATTCAGGAACAGTAAATGTTAATCATTCAGACTCTGTCTCTGATTTTATTATTATTTCACCTACACTGAGTGAATATTATTACTGCACCTGAACGAATGGCTTAAATATAAATCATAGTTTTCTACAAAACTGCAAGAGATAATGTCCTTACCAGTAAGATATCTACACTTTTTATGACACAACATTTGACACCTAAAGGCTCCATTTTTATGAGACAATATTTGTTGCTAACTGCAAATGAATCTTTCCTCTCAAAGATCAGTTAGCATTTAGATTTTACTCAGTTAATCTGCAACCACTTATTAAGTGTCAACTATGCCAGGCACCCTCTGTCTAAACATAAAGGCTACAACTCTGAAGTGGTAGATAGGATTCTGGCCACAGATCTATTGTCTAGTGCACACGTGTCAAACACAGGGCCCGCGGGCCAAATCCATCCCGCCAGGCCTTGCAATGTGGCCCGCACCGCGCTGTCATCACTGCACTCCGCTGCATTTCCATCACAATGACAGTTTATGACTGTTCAGTAAACCATTCGGCCCGCGATTTAGGCTGGATTTTAGATTTTGGCCCCTTCTCTGATTGAGTTCGACACCCCTAGTCTAGTGTGTGTGTGTGTGTGTGTGAGGGTGGGGAGAGGGGTGAGACTATGAAAAATAATAAGCACTAGAAAATCATAATTTTGATATTGTCTATGATGTGTGATGTTAAAGAGAATAAATGAGCCAGGATGTATAAATCTAAATAAGTTCATAAAAGACCTGTGAGGGGCAGAAAGTACAGGTTAGAAACTGTGACTCTTTGAGTCATTACCTGAAGAAATTAGGTGAATATTTATTTTCTATGTATCTGATTTATAGAATATATTGACTTATTGTTTTACTAGAGGCCTGATGCATGAAATTTGTTCAAGAGTAGGCCTTCCTTCTCCCCCCTCTCCCTCCCCACTATTGTCACTGGCTTCCCTCTGGCACCTGGAATCTGGGCTTCCCTCCGGCCACCAGCAGGCACCCAGTACTTGGGCAGCACTGGCTTCGTCCAGAAGGTTGTCCAGAAGGATGTCTGGTCTAATTAGCATATTATGCTTTTATTATTATAGATAGACTAAGGGCACTATGAATTAAAAAGAGTCCTGTTTTTTGTTTTGTTTTGTTTTGTTTTTAGATGGCAATAAGTCTGGCTAAAAGTTTCAGTTTCCTAATCACCCATACAGTTAGGTATAGTGTAGCCATGTGACAGAGTCTGGGCCAATGAGATGAAGGTTTATCCATCACAGGAATTGGCAGGCACTCAATTTTGCCTTTCTCTATTTTGGGTGGTTAATTTTATGAACTGACTTGTGTGGGACACAGGGTGCAGGACATTTGGTCACTTTACTCTGGGTATATCTAAGAGGGTGTTTTGGGGTGAGATCAACATTTGTTCCAGTAAAGTATAACAGATTGTCTTCCATGAAGATGGGCCTCATCCAACCAGTGGAAACTCTGAAGAGAACAAGATTCATCCTCCCCCAAGTAAGAGAAAATTCTTATCACAATACCCTAAGACTTCACCAAGGAAGTATACATCAGGTATAAAGAATTTCAGTGGGAAGTTCTCTCTCTCTCTCTCTCTCTCTCTCACATATTATATCAACTCTCTTTGCTAAAGAATGTACACCAGGATCACATTATTTTGGCATTTTTTAAGCCATGCTTTAGCATTTTTCCATCAGTTTACAAAGAGGAAACTTCTAAGAAACAATTCTAGAACACTTATTGCTTTTCTTTATATTAGGACCAAAGGTGTCAATGAATCTGTTGTTTGCAAGTCACTAAGCTTCTTCCAGGCAGGAACCCCTGGGAGTATTTTCTCTCTCCCGAGCTTCAAGGCAACTAAATTGTTTACTCCATCATCAGCTTCTAAGAAACAAAGTGTAAATTTCTGAAAGCCAGTGAGATACTAAACTTACAAATGATTCCATCCTATATTTTTAAGCCTTACTATTTTTTTTAAGTTTGCTCATTACTCACTTTAACCTGGTTGTTATATTCTATTATAGAGGAAAGTAGACATTTCCATGAAACTCCTTACAAACAAAACTATGTTAAAAATGCAAATGATAAAGAGAAAATAATAATTAGCCTGAAGGAATAATTGCCATGATCATTCATTAGTTACCGACCAAAGGAATTAGGGGAGAGGATGGTCCCACATCTCCTAAACGCAGGTCACTGATCAGTGCGGAAATGGGCACTTCCTCTTTTGTCAGTATAGTCTTATGTCCGGCAGCACCAATATCAAGTGAGAACCTAATAGAAACATCGAAATGTGGACCTCACTCTGGGCAGTCTCAACTGCCACCAGTTGCACAAATGACTCCCATGCATCTAAGTCACCTAGCCTGGGGCTTGGACTAGGTGTGGCCTGATATTTTCCCAGTGCTTCCCATAATATTCTATAAACTGCAACTAAGGAGAAACACATTTGCTACGCTGCAAATCCCTTAATTCGTATAGACACAGGACAGAGATCAGACGGAGTGGTGAAATATACCAAATGTGCAAAATAGTGCAAAGGGAAAATAGAGCAAACTTTAAATCACTAATAATCCATTGTTTACAATGGACAAGTGCTAGTTCATGTGTTTTCCTGGATTTATTTCATTGAATCTTTCTGTAGTTACGTGCCAGACTTCATAAATATCCTCTAGTTTTATGAAAGTAAAAGATGAAGTACCCCTTCTTGAGATTTCACAATTAGTGGAAACCTTGATTCCACAGTGGTGAGCCCCTTTCCAGCATATGTGGAAGACAGACAGCTTCTTCCAAATTGACAGGGATAATTGGATTTTAATCATTTGTAGGTGCCAATCTCAGCATATTCTCACACAGAATCTTATTATTAATAAGCACAATGTTAGTTTTAAAATTTGTGCATATTTCAGGAATTGAAAGTGTGTCATTTACATATTTTGAGGTAAGGAAACAAAATTTCTGGATCCACTTATCTTACACAGTTGAGGCTCTGTCTTTTTTTTTTTTTTTTTTACTTCTGCTTACTATCTATCTTGAGCCTTTGTCATAGAAATAGTTACCTAAGACTCATTTCTCTCTAACAATTGAAATCTCTATAGAGGGCTCTCCTTATGAGGACTTTATACTTTTATTATTAGTGTTACTTTTGGTCCTACCAGTAGTTTATATCAAAATTGAATTTCATTTTTTGGGAGGGTTGTCACTCAAGTCTATTATAATACATCCAAAAATATATTGAGGGCTTTTTGAGAAATGTCTCTAAAATTAGCATTGTAAAAGGCCCATAAATTTCACTGCATGTCAGTATAAACCAAAGCTATGTGTACACCATGGTTCTTATTTTCATTTCATAATATTATGTGGTTTCAAAGCATTTTATTGCATACATGCAGCATAACTTTTTTCCTTTTTGTTTTTTACCATTTACAGTGACCTGTCATTATGATTAATACTCTTGATGTTAAAATTTTGTTCACATTCTCCTTTATGTCTTTGTGTTTGCTTTCTTAAATCAGAATCGCTATGTAAATAGCATCTACATTTCCAAGCCTTTTAATAGCTAGCAAAATCACTCTTCGGAAATATTGTATGAAATGTCACTTCTACATAGAGTGTAACTAAATGACAACTATTACTGAGTATTGTGTGTGTGTGTGTTTACATTTTGACTAATTTAAAAATGTATGTCACTTGCACTTGCATTTCTTTGGTTTTTATTGAGGGCACATTATTGTAAACATATTTTAGACCTATTTATATACTTTCCTTTTTAAAAAAAATATGGGATGCTTCACGAATTTGCATGTCATCCTTGCTTAGGGGCCATGCTAATCTTCTCTGTATCGTTCCAATTTAATATGTGCCCCAGCAGCAAGCAGTATGTCCTTTTGTTAATTATTGGAGATATTACAGCATATCATTTTAAATAATTCCCTTTTTAAAATCATAACTCAGATTTAATCCTTCATTTCTAAATTATTGTGAAGAGACCTCCATTAAGTTTCCTCTCTTCCTGGCATCCAAGTTCCTAGACATGATTAGTTTCAAAATAAGACACAAATAAATTGTAAAGATTATGCAGCTGAGGTCATGAGTCCAAATATGCCATTGTGCTTTTTAGCAAGGGACATATAAATGCTCATCATCACATCCAGTTTGCCAAGCAAATAGACCAAAATAGTTAGAATATAATTAAACATGTATGAGTTAGATAGCGGCATAACAGTCCTTTCTAGATTGGTGGAGGTAAACATGGCCAATCTACACTTACCTCTGCCAATGTTTATTTACTTATTGGTTGATTATCTGGCAGTCAGTAAGTAACTGGCATAACATCAGGAAAAAGAGAGAGATTCCAAAACCCCAGTCTCTTGCATGGAATTAGGGGAGTGTGAAAGCTGGAAGATAGCTGAATATAGTGACTGCATTCTCTCCAACACAAAGCCATGCTTTGAAAGAGCAGATTTTGGAAGAAAGTTTGTCTGGGCTCACTCTAACTATGTCATGATGACTTTGGAGTAAAAATTGGGATGGATGGGAAAATAGGCAGTCCATGGACCTTAATCTGAAGTTAAAAAAAAAAGTGAAGTCCTTTCCTCTGTGAGATCTGTCTTCTCAGGTCACTTTCCAAATAGAAAAACGGATGCATTAACTCAGAAAAACACTAATCCAAAAAAGCATCCCCAAACTCCTATTTGAAATAATATGCAATAAATGATATTTGGTCAAGCAGGTCTGAGTGTTGCAGGTCTGAGTATTGCTGCAAAGATGTTTTAGATGAGATTAATGTTTAAATCAGTAGTTTGAGTAATGCAAATTACCCTCCATAATGTTAGTGATCTCATCCATTTGGTTGAAGGTCTTAAGAAAAAGAGAACTCCCACCCCAGAGGAAGAGGGATACAACCAGAACATTTTCAAACTCCACCTGTGGTACCAAATATTTTGGGGGATTTTTGGCCAGTTTTCTCTCCCTTTCTCTTCCTCTTTCTGTCTCCCTTCCTTTCTCTCCCCAACACACACACACACACACACACACACACACACACACACACACTGTTGGATTTTTTTCTCTGGTGAACCCTCACTGCTATTACTATATAAATATTATTTCTAACACAATTGATCTATTGACTTAATGTAATTCCAGTAAAAATACTGCCAAGGTGCATGTATGTGGGTGCATAATTGAAAAACATATATTAAAATTTATGAGAAGGTTCAAAGGACTTAGAATAAGAGAACAAGGTGAAGGAATTTTTCTTAATCTTTATCAAGAATTAATGTGTCATTTTTATGAATTAGGATAATGTAATATTAGGACAACGATAAGCAAATGGATGGAAAAATAAAGAGCCCCAAAAGGGACGAATCCCAAATTGAGATTTGATTAATGGCAAACCCGGATTTGCAAGTAAGCAGGGAAATATGTCGTGTACAATGAATTATATTGGGTCAATTCAGAATCCACGTGGAAAACTAAAACTGAACTTAAACCTATCTCAAAATGAATGCTTATATCTTAAAATTCAGAAACAACATTCTCAAAAATAATATAGAAACACAGCTTTATGACCTATACTAGGAAAGGACTTCTTAAATAAGGATAAATACAATTCATATGAAGACATTTACATACATGAAAATAAAGGACTTTGGCTTCTGAGGAACTGAGAAATACTATCTTTTAGTAGAGCCGTTGTCATTATTAACCAACAACAAATAAATAGAATAACCAACAAATAGAATAATATTTGTCTTTTGATTTGAAGTCTGTCCCTTCTTCTTAAAGAGTAGTTACTCAAGAAAAATGGAAGAGCAGGAAGATGGAGATGGCAGAGCCAGCAGGACAGTGGCTTCCCTCTTCCCATGGCAGGGTGGCCAGGCAGCCACCAGGCCAATGCCGGGTGAAGTGAGGCAACTTTTGAGAAATTATAAAATATAGTGAAAAGATATAAATCCTGGAATTGAAGAAAAATATTTTCTTCTGTTGAAACTATAGGTAACTGGTAGATTAACTGGAAATGATTATATAAAAATATATAATCATTTCCAGTTAATCTACCAATATAAAAATATATAATCATTTCCAGTTATTGGTCCTTGGAGTTCTGCTCCAGCTAATAATTACTTATGAGGAAGTACTATACCCACAAACGAAGTAAACAGAATCTATGTTAACTGGTTCATTACATAGCCATACATATATCAGCTAAAGGCCTGGTGCACAAAATTCGTGCACTCTGGGGGGGTTGACCCTCAGCCCAGCCTGAGCCCTCTCATAGTCCAGGAGCCCTCAGCACTGCCACAGAAGCAGGAGAAGTTCCCAGCACCACTGCTGTGCTTACCAGCCATGAACCCAGCTTCTGGCTGAATGGTGCTCCCCCTATGGGAGCACACTGACCACCAGGGATAGTTCCTGTATTGAACATCTGCCCCCTGGTGGTCAGCATGCATCATAGCGACCAGTCATTTCACTGTAGGACCAAAGCTAGCTTTCCAGCCTCCCTAGAGGGGTCGTGGATTATGAGAAGGCACAGGCCATGCCTATGGATCCCACCAGTACATGACCAGGCTGGGGAGAGATGTGGTAGATTGGCCAGCCAGGGAGGGACCAAGGGAGGGCTCCAGGGCCTATCTGGACTATCTGGCTCAGTCCCAATTGGCTGGACTCCAGCAGCAAGCTAACCTACTTGTCAGAGAGTCAGCCCCCTGGTGGTCAGTGCAGTCATAGTGAGCAGTTGAGGAGCTTTAGCATATCATTAGCATATTATGTTTTGATGGGTTGAACAGCTGACTGGATGACAGAACACTTAGTATATTAGGCTTTTATTATATAGGATGGATCAGCACAAATATCTATTCTTCTAAAAGCACATACTGAAATAGTCACTAAAAACTAAACACCAGAAAAATAAAGCACTTAATTAAAATGTGGGAAGAGGAACTGAATAGACACTTCCTCAAAGAGGACATACATATGGCCAACATCACTAATCATCAGAGAAATGCAAATCAAAACCACAAGGAGATGACACCTGAGAGCTGCCAGAATGACTATCATCAATAAATCAACAAACAATAAGTGTAGGTGATGATGTGGAGAGAAAAGAACCCTCATGCACTATTGCAGATTGGTAGAACCACTTTGGAAAACAATATGGAGGATACTCCAAAAAATTTTAAAAATGGAACTGAAATTAGTCAGACAGAGAAAGAAAAATATATATTATTTCAGTTATATGTGAAATCTCTGAAAGAAAATAGAAACAGACTTCTGATACAAAAAAACAGATTGATAGATACTAGAGGGGAAGGAGGTTGGGAGTCTGGATGAAAAAGATGAAAGGATTAAGAAGTACAAATTGATAGTTACAGAATAGTCATAGCATTGTAAATCACAGCATATAGAATATAGTCAATAATATTGTAATGACTAAGTATAATACCAGGCGGGTACTGGAAACATCAGGGGACTACTTTGAAGTAAGATTGTCTTACCACTATGCTATACACCTAAAACTAATACAGAATAATATTGAATGTAAACTGTGTTTGAAACTTAAAAAATAATAATTAAAAAATAAAAAGCACATACTGAGTCTGACATGAGTATTAAGAGATTTAATGTTATAAAATGTATTTCTAAATCTGGTATATTAGGTGGGATTTATGTTTTCATGGATCTATCTGCTTTTGATGTTTTTCTGTTGCAGAGTTTGACCTGGTTTATGATAATGGAACTGTAGCCTAACATATGACTCATTCAACACGTCTATCCCTTTTGCACAATTCCCTAATACAGGGGTAGGCAAACTCATTAGTCAATAGAGCCAAATATCAACAGTACAATGATTGAAATTTATTTTGAGAGCCAAATTTTTAAAACGTAAATTTCTTCTAATGCCACGTCTTCAAAATAGGCTCACCCAGGCCATTGTATTTTGTGAAAGAGCCATACTCAAGGGGCCAAAGAGCCTCATGTGGCTCATGTGTCACAGTTTTGTCGACCACGGCCCTAGGAACATCATTTGTCCAAGGTGAAACACCAGATTGTTGAGCTGTGATCATGAATGGAAGCATGTTTAAATTCTACTCATTCTGGTCTGTTTAATAGGGAATCTCCACTCAGAAAATTTAGCAAAAGTTAACAGAGCATTGACCAAAAGAGCAGGTACAGGTGAATTAAGCATGAAAGAGAATTATGTAAATACATTTATGGGGTTGCAAATCTTGTTGTTATATATACTTTTATTTTTATATTTAATTATAAGAAATTAATTGGTAAATATATGTAATTACTATTAGGAACATTGTTTGAGTGTTTGTTACATGTTTATCTTTACTGTTACTAACAGACTTCAGTGACTGTTCTTTAAATACCAGGAAAACAGCCACTGAACACTGCTTCATCTCTCATACTTGAATATTATGCAGACCCTTGTTAATTAAAGAGGAAAGTGCATGCCTCAAATATCCCAGAGGGCTTCATTCATGCCTTCTTTAGTTTTAGAAGCTGACCTAAAAAATAGGAAATTACCATTAAAAATATTTTCAACTTATAAAATATCTTACTTTTTCAAAAACCAAAATTTCAAACATTCTCAAAGACTTCACGAACCATTTATTTATCTCCATGAACCAAAGCTTAAGAAAACTAGTTTGCCTCATTTTCTGTTTAGAAGTTTTCAGCAAATGAATGGTGTTAAGTATCCACTCTTTTCTGAGGGAGCTGGAACTATAATGAAATGACAGACATGGATTCCAGACAATTCAGACCTATTTTCCATCTATTGCTCAGGTGAGTGTTTTGGCCTATAACCATTTCATTATAAATTAAAGGGTATATTTTTTGCAGCTAATGAAAGGCTCAATTTT